ATCTATCTATCTATCTATCTATCTATCTATCTATCTATCTATCTATCTATCTATCTATCTATCTATCATCAAGATGGCTGTGTGTTATTCCCTATTCTTCAGTTGTTCCCTTCTCCTGGCAACCCTGTATATGTGCACACTGGGAACAGGCCTCCAGCTCTTCGTCTGCCTCACTGATGTCTGGCTCTGAAGGCAGCTGATAACTGGCATTCTGCCTCCAAAATAGAGCCCTTATCAGAGTCCTCCCCAGACTCCAGGACTGGCCTACGTTCCTCCCCAACCTCCTCACTGTATGAATCTGCTGGCTGCTGTTGGGCCACAACACTATTTTTCTAGCACTCCACTTTTACTTGTTTATTAATCTAAATGTAAACCAGGAAAAATTAACTAGGTGCTAATGTAGGAAGCTATTTGGAGTCTGACTCAAGCCTTGATCATAACCGGCTGTCCTTTTCTGCCTTGAACCCTAGATTAAGCTAAGCGAAGAGACTATCCAAGATGTGGTACAAGCTGCTGACCTGTTGCTGCTTACAGACCTAAAAAAGCTCTGTTGTGAGTTTCTGGAGGGTTGTATTGCTGCTGAGAACTGTATTGGCATTCGGGACTTTGCCCTACACTACTGCCTGCTCCACGTACACTACTTGGCCTCGGAGTATCTGGAAACGCACTTCCGTGATGTCAGCAGCACAGAAGAATTCCTAGAACTCAATCCTCAAAGGCTAAAAGAAGTGCTGTCTTTGGAGAAGTTAAACGTTGGGGATGAAAAACATATTTTTGAAGCAGTCATTCGGTGGATTTCCCATGACCCTGAATTAAGAAAGGTACAGAGTTCAAAGTTAACCTTTAAGATGTTTGGATAAAACATACAGTATTTGCTCATGTTAATTTATTTGGATACCTCTAACATAGTCATTGCCAGTTTAATGTTTGCTCTGCTTTGATTCTCCTCCCTCATGTAGTTCATACGTACTCCTATACAGGTAGTCCTCCATTTACCACCACAATTGAGCCCAAAATGTCTGTTGCTAAGCGAGACATTTGTTAATTGAGTTTTGCCCCATTTTACCACCTTACTTGCCATGGTCGTTAAGTGAATTGCTGCAGTTGTGAAGTTAGCAACATGGTTGTTAAGCGAATCTGGCTTCCTCATTGATTTTGCTTGTCAGAAGGTCACAAAAAGGTGACTCCAGGACACACTAACTGCCATAAATACGAGTCAGTTGCCAAGCCATCTGAATGTTGATCAGGTGACCATGGGGAAGCTGCAATGATTGTAAGTATGAAAAACAGTCATAAGTCACTTTTTTTGAGTGCCATTGTAACTTTGAACGGTCACTAAACAAATTGTTGTAAATTGAGGACTATCCTGACCTCCAGGATATAATCAGGCATTACTTGCTGTCAAATTCATCTTCTTAGCTACACAATCAAAAACAGTTGTTTTATCTAAAAACTGAAGAGCAGGGAATAAAAGAAAGCTGAATTTTTGTCCTAACATCATATTCTCCATTTTGGCAGAATTGGAGCATTTATTTCCACCATGTGTATTATTCAACTCGTAAATAGACTGTAGTATTTCTTGTCATTGTGGTTTTTTTCCCCCCCACTTGTTCTCTGATTTGGACAAGACCGCTGCTTTGGTCTACAATTGCTAAAACCTGGTGCAGAATTTCCTGCCCTTTTGAGATGGTTCTGACCACCATCCATCTCCTGCAAATATAGTCCTTACCCTGCCACTATTTCCCCCCTCCAAAGTTACCTCTCTTTCTGCAAAAGTCTATTAACAGGAAATTTTAAGCACAGGTTTGTGTGTGAAACTCATGGAGTTAGGTGTCCCTCAGCCCACCAGTTGGCCAAATTGTTCCTGAGGCACATCTACCGCCTGCATGGAGTGCCACAGAGAATTATCTCAGAGAGGTCCAGTTCACGGCTAATTTCTGGAGGGAGTTCCTGTGGTCCATTGGGTCGTTCCAGGGCCTTAGCTCGGCCTTTCACCCGGGGAACCAATGGGGGGGAAGAGAGACTGAATGCCATGTAGAGCAGTACCTGAGGTGCTATGAGAACTTATCAGGAGTCCTCTAGAGCAGAACAGGGATGCTTTGCGAGTTGACATTAGGATCATTTTGTGATTTCCGTTATCTTTGCCGCTCTCCAGGTTCATATGAAGGATGTTATGTCAGCTGTGTGGGTCGCTGGATTGGACTCTACCTACCTGCGTGAACAAATGATGAATGAGCCATTGGTTCGGGAGATTGTCAAAGAATGCAACAACATTCCACTCACCCCACCCCAGCAAGAAGAGGCGTTGCTGGCTTCTTTTAAACCCCGAGGATACTCGGAGTGCATCGTGACTGTCGGGGGTGAAGAAAGAGTGTAAGTTGTTCAGGAAAGTGGCTGTGGATCTCATTGGCAGGAGAAGGAGTCAGAAAGATGAATAGAATAGAATAGAATAGAATAGAATAGAATAGAATAGAATAGAATAGAATTCTTTATTGGCCTAGTGTGATTGGACACACAAGGAATTTGTTTTTGGTGCAGATGCTCTCAGTGTACATAAAAGATAACGATACATTCTCCAAGAATCCTAAGGTACAACACTTAAGGATAGTCATAGGATACAAATAAGCAATCAGGAAACAATATCAATATAAATCGTAAGGATACAAGCAACAAAGTTAAAGTCATGAAGTCATAAGTGGGAGGAGATGGGTGATAGGAACAATGAGAAGATTAATATTAATAGTAATGCAGACTTAGTAAATAGTTTGACAGTGTTGAGGGAATTAGTTGTTAAGCAGAGTGATAGCGATTGGGGAAAAACTGTTCTTATGTCTAATTCTGGTGTGCAGTGCTCTATAGCGTTGTTTTGAAGGTAAGAGTTGAAACAATTTATGCCCAGGGTGTAAGG